CTGCCGTAATAAAGCAGTACTAAGACTTTTTCAATTTTATCAGACTTTATTTACCGTAAAATTTGACTTTTTATGCAGTTGCAACCAGCAAATTTCAGTTTTTTGGCACATTTCCGCTGACGGATCCCCAGATTTGCTCAGTCCAAGTACTTAATTAAGTACTTAATAAGCGTGGTATCAGAGACAACAATATTTATGATCAATAAATTATGTTGCCCACAGTAACATAAAATTTCGTTTAATCTTAAAACGAGAACAATTTGCTGGAGGAACATTGTTTTTGAAGACCAAAAATAAAAGAGTCATGCATTGTCGTGGTACTCGAAGAATCAAAAAAAGCAATTAGTGCTATTTGTTTACTCACGAGCAGAACGCTGAAGACTGCAAGTCCATTCGCCAAATAAACATAGCGTTATTTACCGTTGATAACCTTTGCTGAAAACTTTAAGTCCTCAAATAACAATTTTATCGGATGTTATAGACTCAACTAAAAAAAAAAAGTTCGTTCAAATAACTGAGAATGAAGTGATTTGAGTAGAATAGCTAGCAAACAAACCCGGCTAAGATGATCGAAATCTGAAACTTTTGCTTCCTTTGTTTAGTAGTCATAACAAAAATAGGATGACCAATTCTTCACTTTGGAAGCTATTAAAATGCTATTATATTTTCATTTCCTCAAGAAAATATACAGCGCTTGTGTAAGGTTCAATGTAAATTCTTTGACGATCATGACTTGGACAAGTCAATAAAGTTCGCGCGCACCTTCCTGATTGTTTATAGACGAAGCCTTCAGTCCATGTCTTGAATGTAATAATCGTCAAGCAGTAAATAGCAAGTGCTTTGCAACTATTTCATTACGGACTGGTGATTTTGTTGCTAGTGTCCAAAAATTGGTGTCGGGTCGAAATTTAAAAACAAAGATACTCCGTACCAAATGCCCTCCAAGGTTGTCAATCATTTGATCTAGAGTTTTGAGGCCCATCAGACATCTGCGTTGGGGACCTGAGAAATTGGAGTAGTTTATAGTAAACATTGTGGACGACTCTGCAACGGGCTAAACAAACCATAGTCTATTGTGATTCTTATTTCGCTATCGTAAGTAAATAAGCGAAATGACGTTGTCCTTAATAAGTTTGATTTCGAAACAACGATAGGATTCAACACCATTTAGAGCAATTTTAAAAGCACTAGGTTTTCAACTAATACATTTATCCTTTAACAACATGAGTAAAAAGACAATGCGAGGATTTTTTTCACTCACTTCAACATCCCTTCGTAGATACACGAAATGGCAGCAGTCGAAATGTTCAAAAGTAAATTTGAAATATATTTGAAAGCTTATGCATTGGCATAATTTAGGGCTTCTCGGGAAAAAGAAGTTGGGAAGTTTCGTTTAGTAAATTTAATCTATAGCTTTCTTTTTGGAATAAAGTTATGCACAGGAAATAATTGGAAATACCTGTTTCTCCAGAGTAGGCGCAATTCAGAGGTGCAACTATGCCAAATAGCATCAACAAGGTCAGCAAAAGTGACGCTGCAGAAACGAAACACATAGCCAACAAAATCAGTCGATCACAACCATGATGTCGTCCAGACGAGTTAATTTCCTCAGGGTTGGACCACGCGTTGCGTTTTGAAAAATGACTTCTAGCGCTTAATTTCCCATTTTGATTCAGACCACTCGGTTCGGTGTGCACCTCCTCTTCGGGAATGCCATCAAGTCTTTCTTGACATTCCTTAGAGCCACGATAATCAATAGTGGAGGTCTCCTTGTCTTTATCATGATTAAAGTTGTCTGTGCTTTTTTCGTCGAGAGGTAACGAGTCCGATAACTCAGTTTCAGCCTCCGTAGTGGAAGGGCGTAGTGGCCCTGGGGAAACACGGTTTTTTAAAAACGCCATTTTCTGCTCCTTCGAAGTCCTTTTCTTGGTGGAGTTGCCGGTGGCCGTGGAGAGATTAAATTCCTTTAGTGCTCAACTCTACAAACAGGGCATCTGGAGTGCCAAGGGTTTGAACGACCGATGAAAAACGTAAGGGAGCGTATCAAGTCATACGACAGAGTTTCCATGGAAACTTACTGACATGTGGTATCATCCTTTTCAAAGACTCATAAAATGTTGAAAATGTTTAGAGCAACAAAAATCAATTATTGTGCATGAACATTACAATGAAATACAGGGATAGTAGTAAGAAGGCTAAGGAAAAATAAGAAAAGACAGACTGAGATTAAGATTACGCGACGCTTACGTTTATTAAGTTCAGAGATTAAATTTTGTTCACAAAGAATGTGCAGGGCTTAAATTGATGCCTGTAAATGCTATAAAAAAAAA